TCAGGAATAGAAGTTCTTTGAGAGTATGTGGTCTTTTTTTTTTTTTAAAAGATTTTTTTTTATTGGGGAATTGGGGGGATGGGAACAGTGCTGGGGAATTGGGGGAAGGGGAACAGACAAGTTGCTGTCGTTTTGTTCTTCAATCTAGTTGTGGAGGATGTTGCTTCACTGGCCCAAGTTGGCACCATCATTGCGCTCTTCTCTGGCGAGGCAGATCAGTCGCCGGCTTCTGGACGGCCGCTCACTGCGGCTGCTGGCCGCTCACGCTGGCTGCTGGCCACACATGGTAGCCCATGGCAATCCACTGCCACAGGGACTGCAGCCCACGCCGTCGCCGGCGACTCAGGGCAGCCCAGCTCCAGGTTGAGCTGTTGTTCAGCATCTTAGCTGTAGAGGGCAGTGTCACTGGCCCTCATATGTGGGATCCGAACCGGGGCCCTCTGGCATCCCAAGCCAGTTCTTAACCATCGCGCCACTCGGCCGGCCCGAGAGTATGTGGTCTTAACTGAAAGTCAGCTACATTTACCATGGCCACTCCTTTTTGAAAAGCCTAATTTTTGTCTCCTTAGCACCATGATATTGTCAAAAACTATGCTTAATATTTTTTAGCTTATTTAAAGGTAATTTTTAAATTTTTTTTCTCAACCTCTTGCCCTTTATATGTGCAGCTCAGGCATAACTGTATAACTTGAGAGAAAGTTGTTTGCAGAATACTGGGCTCACTTATTTCTGGTTCCCTTTTCCAGGATTTTAGATCCTCAAGTTCTAGCTGCTTTTGTAGCCCCAACTCATGTACCCCCAAACTCAGTGAGACCTCTTTAAGCTCTAGAACATTACTTACTGTTTGGCTTCTATACAAAACTGCAAATGCCCCCAAGGAAAAATGTGGCAGTAAATATGGGGCTCACCTCAATGGACTTTTCTCATGTCTAAATATCAGCTCTTTAATTTATGACTGCTTTTGTTGCTCTCATATACCTTCAGAAAACTTTGTTTTTATTTGTTTGTTGAGAATTTAAGAAACAAACAACATATAGTTTTTCTTAACAAAAGGAATGGCTTAATACAAGCTATTCTTTAATAGTCTTTCATAGCAGAAGTCTATCTCATCTAATTTTGGCCATCTTTATGAGTTAAGTAAAGATGAAATGTTATTATGTGCATAAGCTTTGGAACCAGACTTTGGAATTTAAATCCCAGCTGGCCACTGACCAAAATGTGAGACCTTAGACAAGTTTTAACCTTTCTGACCTTCTATTTCCTCTCCTTTTAATAAATATCTGGGAAATGAAGTTGAAGAAACCTTTAAAGATCAGAAACCCCATTTTAATTTAAACTATTTCAGAGCATAATAAAGATAAAATTTCCAAATTCATTATATGAAATGTATAATTTTAATTCCTAAAACTGAAAAAAATAGCACCTAAAAATTATAGATCACTCTCATTCATGATTTTTTTTTAAAGATTTTATTGGAGAATTGGGGGAAGGGAACAGCATTGGGGAATTGGAGAAGGGGAACAGAAAAGTTGTTGTCCTTTTGTTCTTCAGTCTAGTTGTGGAGGAAGTTGCTTCACTGGCCCATGTTGATATTGTGATCATTGCGCTCTTCCCAGGTGAGGCAGATCAGTCGCTGGCTTCTGTACAGCCGCTCACAATGGCTCTTGGCAGCTCACACCGGCTGCCAGCTGCTCACGGTAGCTTATGGCAGCCCACTGCAGCAGGGGCTGCAGCCTACACTGCCGCCTGCGACTCATGGCAGCCCAGCTCCAGGTCGAACTGTTGTTCACCATCTTAGCTGCAGAGGGCAGTGTCACTGGCCCTCATGTGGGATCTGAACTGGGGCCCTGCTGCTCAGAGCTGGCGTCCCAACGTGCCACTCGACCAGCCCCTCATTCATGAATATTAATACAAGAGCATATTTAAAAATCATAGAGAACAATCCAGAAGTATATTTAAAAAAAATACACAGTGGTGTGCATGTACACATGCATGCGTGCATGTGCGCGTGTGTGCACACACACACACACACACACACACACACACACACACACACTGGAATACTACTCAGCCATAAAAAAATAAAATATTACTATTTGCAACAATGTGGATGGATATTGAGGGTATTATGCTAAGTGAAATAAGTCAGACAGAAAAGGATACCACATGATTGCACTCATGTAGAATATAAAACAAAAAGTAACAAATAAAAACAAACTCATAGATTTGGACAACAGGTTGGTGGTTAGCAGAGGAGAAGGGGGGTTGGGAGAGGGTGAATGGGTAAAGGGCATCAAATATATGGTAATGGATGAAAACTAGACTTCTGATGGTGAGTACGTGAAAGACTATACAGTTATCAAATTATGATGTTATTAACCAATGTTATCTCCATAAAAATTATAAAGAAAATATAGAATTTTCTAAAAAGAAAGAAAAGCTTTTTCTAGAAATACAAGGATAATTGAATAATATCAATCTAGATAAGTCATCAAATGATAGCGCTAAAGAGAGAAAAATCATGAGCATCTCCATAAATGCAGAAAAAGTATTCAATAAAATTCAACACACATTTATTTTATTTTTTTCACTCAACAAATATATATTGAGCATCCACTCTATTATAGCACCAAGGATGCAAAAGTGAAAAAGATATTGGCACCATATCAACTCACATTCCAGTGAAGGGAAAGAGCCAATAAAGGAACAAATAAGGGGACAACTAGAGCATTTATTTTAAAACATTTATTTAAAAATATGCATGGATTTCATTCTTATAATAAACATACCAAACATGCCTTGGGCCAAAAGCCAACACTTTTACCTAATAGGGAAACACTGACAGTTTTCTTCTTAAAGTCAGAAAGAAGACCAGACTTCCCAACTGTGTCCACAACGTTTAACATTAAATTGAGGAATTCATTAGCTAATGCAATAAGACAGACAAAGCATCTAGAAACATAAGAAATGGAAAGAAAGAGATAAAATAATCACTTACAGGTTATATAAGTGTACAAGTGGAAACCCCAAAAGAATTAATAGGAAAACTATTACAAACAATAAGATATTTAGCCAAGTGGCTGGTTATAAAATTAATATATAAAAATCAATTGCCAGCCTATACACAAACAAAAATCAGAAGATATAATGAAAGAGAAATTGCATTTATGATAACAAACAATATACCAAAAAAGAAATGTGCAGAACACCTACAGGAAAATTATAAAATATTCTTGAAAGAAATAAAGGTAGACGCGAACAAATTATTTAAAATACCATGTTGTTAGATAAGAAGATACAACAGTATACAGATGTTAGCTTTCTCTAAGTTAATTTATAAATTTTATGTAGTTGCAATCAAACTTCCATAAAGTTTTTTCTAGAGCTGTAAAAGTTGATTATGAATTTTCCCTATTCTACAAACACTAGTTATTTCGTGGAGCAGGGAGCTGAGGAACTGAGTAGGAGGGATTGGGTTTGCTTTGTGGATGATGTGCTTTGTGGCTTTCATAGCTTTCATTGCACTTAGCACTCTCCATGCTCCCTCTTCTGAAACCCTGAGGTGGTGAATGACCCTTTAGGAACCAGCATTCCAGAAGCTCATTTGGTTAGTTGTGCTGTGCTGATGGGCTGCTGGCCTGTAACATGTAACTTCCACTGGCCTTCTCTTGGGCTTTTGACTCATAATAGAGATGGCCATCAGAGGGTGTAATTTGGGGAGGACACACTTTTCAGTGCCTCCCCAATTTCCTCTCTAATATTGCCTTTACCTCTTGGCCCCAAAAGGATGGTAGACAAGAATGCTAAGGTCTGAAAGGCAATGTCATTTGTTTAAAAAGTGCTGGCTCTGAATGGCCTTCTTGGTCATGATGGTGAGGAGTTGGCCCAAATTTGCTATTTTATCTTTTCTTCAGTTGACTGTGTGGATTTTCACCTTACTTTCAATATTAGGCTTTTATCCTCGACTGGTCCTTTATGATGAACTGGAGATACTTTTTTTTAGTTTTGAAAGTACAGTATAGGTTTTCAGGCTTACCTCCCCCCCCATTTCCCCTGCTTTTCCTCCTTCCTGAGCATGCCTTGTACTCCCCCCACCCTACCTTTCTAAAGTCATTCTCTCTTCCTAGTGCACCCTTCCCTTCTTTATTCCTGTCTGAAAGCCTGCCCATTCTTGAGTGCTATTTTGAAAGGTTATTTAAAAAACCCCTTTCCTTATGTTTCCAGCTGAATGTGAATACGCTGGCATTTATCAAGGCAAAAATCACCCCTTTATTTCTCAGTAATTTGTGTTTGTTCTGTGGCCGCCTATTCAACTGTGAATGTCTTCAATGCACGAACTCTGCCTGTTACCTATGTAGCTTATGAAACACTTTGCTTATTGTCCTGCACGTAGCAGCAAGATGAGATTAAATTAAGAAAAAAACAAGGACTTAATCTATTCAGTGGCATGGATTGGCTATCCATATTGTCTATTAGCTCCTACCCTTTGGAAATTACTGAATTGAGCATAATCAATCACCAGATCATGCCAGTGACCTACACAGGAGCAATAATGGCCTTCACTGTGACACCACTAATCTGAACCTGCTGCTAGCCAGATAATCCTGGCTCTTGTCTAGTTATGTTTTTCCCAGGCCTTACAAGCACCTGCAGTCTAGGTGGAGGGTGGGGGCATCAGCCTGGAACAAGGTCTTCCTTAACATTTGGCACCACCCAGATTCCTCATAAGGAAGACCGTGAGAATTGTCTTTGCTCATTAAAAAATACATCATTAACTATCTATGTATTTTTTGCCTATGCCTTCAAAGTAACAAATTGTTTACATTTACAGGTTGTGTGTGTGTGTGTGTGTGTGTGTTGATTGTTTAGTAGACCTAGCATTGCTGAATGTCATGTCCTTATGACTTCATACATGAATAAATGGCTAACAAGAGGGGAGATGTTTGCAAGTATCTGTAGACATGAATTATTCTTCAAAAACAGTCTTTCTTTTCTTACAGGAATCCAGAAGCTTTGAAGTCACAAGAAGAGAAGGTAGGGAAAATGCATTCATCCCCATTTCATGCTTGGCGTTGACATCTTGGAAGTAGTTTGTTGGAGTTAAGATGAACTTTAGGCTGTGGACAGCTTGTTCTTTGAAATTTCATGTGGCCTTTTCTGGGCACTGACTGCTTGGCACATGGCTTCTAGGAACTGCAAGAAGGGAAACCAGGTTTGCTTGTGAGAGCTTCGTCCTCTGCTTTCATGTATCAGAGGTGGGGTCTAGAGAGCTGGCTCATTCCTGATCATGTTTACAGTCTCTTGCAATAAGCCTCATTTCTGAATAAAGTTTGATGTGATTATTTAGTTTCATCCAGCAAAAACAGCATCAACAATAAAAATAACAGCTAATGGGTTGAGGTATTTCAATATCTGGGAAAAGATGCCACTGTGAAAAATACTTCTGATTAGATTTTTATAGCTTTAGCTAAGCTGAAATAGAAATAACCAATTAATTTCTCTTTTGAAAACAATTCCATGACATTTTATTTTCCTCAGCAGAGTTCCTCTAGCACATTTGTTTTTTTGATCTCTGAGGTAAGTATATATGGGTGGTAATTTCTAAAATCTTTTAGTGGAAATTGAAGTTTGCCTTATTCACTTTCAGCAATACCTCATCTCTAATAAGAGGATATCTTTGGTATGATTTATGGAATTATCACCAATACTTCTTGTATTGCAGGGACGGGAGGATGAAGTAAAAAACCAAAGTGAGTTCTTGGTCTAGGATATGGCCTTTGCTTTTAGTCTTAACCACATCCTTCCCTGTAGCAATGTCTCAAAAAGAGTGGCAATCTTTAAAAAGTGAGGAAATTCCATATTGAGTCCTAAGTCCAACATATTCTTGCCTCCTGATTAGTTCTTAACAATGAAGGACATGCAATGGCCATACTATCAAAGTGTGTTTCTAGAGCTTGGAAACGTAGCCTTTCCATAGAATCTGTATTGGTAGTACTGGTTGTTTGCTGCTGTCCGTGGTGCTGGAACCTTGGATTCAAAGGATGTGGCTAATTAGCTCTAGGATGAACTTCTGGCTTCTATTCCCATTTGCCATTGTCTCTGGTTTTGGACTCAATGTCCTCTGAATTGTATCCATAGGGTAGACTGAATTGTTTGGGTATCAAAACCAAATGAAATTGGATAAAGGTGAGTGGGGCAGGGGAGGTATGTTGCTTATTGAAAATTGCATTCACAATGGGCGCACGATGGCCATGCAAATTGGAGAGAAATAGCCATAAGGAGAGAAGTTGGCATGAACTTTGGTTTTGAATACTATTCTATTCACGTCAGCACTCCTGAGTGTTAATGTTTGGAATTAATTTGCCTTATGGAATCACATATGAACTTAACTGTTTTGGAATCTTACTGTCCTTGTGTTAGAAGTGATTCTAAATAGTAAGATGGGGGTATGAAAGGACCATGTGTATTTTTGCTCAAAGACATAAAAAGGCCCCAAATCCCTAGAATACTGAGGGCATCTGAGGATGAGCAGAGGCATGGTCAGGCTGTACTTTACTCATTCATAAACCCCTCCTCTCTTGAAGCAGCAGCTTTCACAACTGGCTGACTGGGACAATATGCTTTGGGTTTGTACTGGCAAATTTGTCTTGACATCATGTAAACCTTTTTCTTCCTATTGTGAACTGATGTCTTTCTTGCTTGTTTCTGTCAAAGTTGAGTTTCTGAAGAGTTCCTGAAATAGCACAGTGCCTTAATGTTGATGATTATAACCCGGCAGGAAGGAAGGGTGGGACCTTGCTGGCTGGTTACAAGTATTTTTGTCTCTGAGAAAAGCTTGGGGGGTAGGGTTGTTATTCTTCTCTAGAACAGTGTATGGGTAAAAAATAACAGAAGCACTGTGACTATTTCCATAAGTTATTATTTATACAAATACAAATGAAACATTATTGTCTAGCCACCAATACTTAAGGTTGGTTCCTTAGCTCTGACTTGACCTGGGACTGAAAGAGGAGCAAATAATTTTTCCGCCCAGTTTACCAGGCCCAGGAGATTCTGTAAAGGTAGCCTCTGGACCACAAAATCTAAGATATTTTCCTGGTTTTGTTTTGTTTTACTTTAATACTACACTTGCCTCAGGAGTATCAGCTCGATCCATGGCTCAGTGCTACAATTGGATGACCAAATGCAACTTCATACTTAATTACTTTTGGAAACGCTTCACAATGTCTGTGAAGTGAGACATTAGAAGGGCTAATGTTAGCAGTGGAAATAGAGTCCAGGCTAAATCATGGTGTCATTACATGAATGTACTGTGTGCTTTAAATCTGCTCTCTGCCTTATTTCCCCCGGCGCTCCTCCCAGGCTTGGATGCGGGGTTGTTGTGGTTCCCAGACTGGAGCCCAGCTTTCTTACCTCTGGCATTACTCACACTTTTCCTACAACCTGCATGCTCTTTGTCCCTCATCTTTGTCACGTCTCCCTTATCCCTTCCAACTCTCGTTTTTGAATCATTTAGCTTACCCTACCTTATCTGAGAGGTAAGGGCAGTGACTCTCCCCTCATTCACCCCCAAATCCCTTACGTCCCTAAGCCCAGAGCTCAATATTGTAGTTGCTCAATAATAGTTTCTTGAATTAAGTGCAAGCTACAAATTGCTTTGTGTATATTGTCTTTTCACTCTGATTGTGCCCTAGTGATATATAAGTGAGGCACTGAGTGGTTTGGTCCTAGAAAGGCACTTTTTAAAGAGTGTTCTGGGGATATCCATTGGATACTTCTAGCTGATGGCATCAATGAAAGTACTCCGTGTTCAAATAAGCTTGGTGTGATGGGTTGAATTGTGTTCCCTGCAAAAGATATGTTGAAGTCTTAACCCAGAACCTGTGGATGTGACCTTATTTGGAAATAGGGTCTTGGCAGATGTGCAACAAATTTAGATGAGATTGTACTGGCTTAGGATGGGCCCTAACCCAGAAGAGGGACATTTTTGCACAAACACACAGGGAGAATGCCATGTGATGATGGAGACTGAGCTTGGAGTGATGAGTCTATAAGCCAAGGAACGCAAAGGATTGCTGGTAACCACCGGAAGCCAGGAAGGGTCCTTCCCTGGAGCCTTCAGAGGGAGCGTGGCCCTGCCAACACCTTGATTTCTGACTTCAGCCTCCAGGACTGTGAGAAGATTAATTGATTTCTCTTGTTTTAAACCACCAGTTTGTGGAACTATGATACAACAGCCCTAGGAAACTAATACATAGGCAGATGCTGGACTCAATAGTGAGCTAGGTTTGTCATTGTTGTTGACGTTTTTATTGCAGAGCCTCTCGGGTCTTTAAGATGCTAAATATGACTTCTAAACATGGGGTGTAATATGGAGCATTTTCCAATTAACTTCCCGTGACATCTTAGTTTTATTGTTTTTTTATCATGTTGGAACTGGCATTTCATGCAATGCCCTTTGCAAGCCCTGCTGTAAGAACTTGCAACATGTGAGTGAGCCATTGTGGGATAGAGGGAAGAGGGGGCACTTCCTGAGTGTCCAGGCTGAGGACACATCCTGGCACCAGTGACTTCCAAGGGCATTGCATGGACAGATGGAGAGGTGGCAATAATGATAATCACTTGTAGTTCTGAAGTTTTCAGAGACCTTTCACTTTGTTTACCTCCTGTGACCCTCAGCAACTCATGACATGAGCAGAACAGGTAACACTTTGCCCATGAGTCTCCTTTCTTTCTACCCATGCTAATTTTATTAGGAACTAGGACTTCCTCTAGACCAGTGTCCCTTTGATGCACTGACCCTCTCTCTGAAGGGGGCAGTGGCTTACATGACTTGATCTTGCTTCGTCACATACAAGGGCTTCTGTATCTCCATGTCCACTGCCAAGCCCAGAGAGCTGAGAGGGACTCCTGGAAGAAACTTTCCTAGGGGAGCTTTGTTTCCGTGTTAGATTTGAGGTATGGACTCTCAGAGGAGCCTGGAGGGAGACATAGTATCAGCGACTGTGGCAGGACTGCAAGACTGGGGGGATGTGTTTCGGGAAGGACGTATGCCTTTCCAGCTGGACCAAGCCCTTCCACCCTCAGGGCAGCCCTGTATTCTCCTTGTGCTCTGGGACCCACCTGTGCTAGCTGCATGGGGAAGGGGAGCTGGCCGCTTCTTCATCTGCTTTCCAGCGCAGGTGTTTTTACACCTCCCTCCAGACACCTACAATTTAATTTTAACTTTTTCTGAAGCTTCAGCAAAAGGTGCCAACCTCACCTTTCCAAGACACTCCCGTGTCCACTCGGAGGGCTTGTGCTGATTACAACTGCCAGAATTCATCTGCTCAAACCACTACTTTTCTTGAAGTGATCCCATCACTTTGAATTACAGCCATGAGAGAACACTTGAGTGAGCGGAGCAAGTGGCCAAGATAATTCAGCCCTTGTCAGCCACCTCTTAGGAGCACGGGGGTGATCTGTGAGCTATTCCAGATGTCCGTGATTGTGCTGTGATTAGAGGCTGTGAGTTTTGGGGTGGGCACCGATGTCACATTGCATTACCCCACAATGGCTCACTCACGTGTTCCAGTGCGGACCAGCCTGGCCTGGCTTCCAGCAGGGCTGTGAGGGAGGCCTGAGAGCAGGGATGCTGCTGTCTTCATGGAAACAGAAAGGGGAGCGACAGTCACACACAGTGCAGGGTGGCTCCAGCCCCATAGCAATGCACATGTCCTGAGTAAACATGACCTGCCAGCGCTGAGCGTGCAACTAGAGCCTCACGTGCTGAAAACCCTTGGAATTCGTTCCTAATTGGCAGCTGCCCCTTTATAGTTCTCTGCATCTGGGAGAACTTCAGCTACCAAGAATTACATTCTATTTACCATTCATTTTTATTTTGTTTAGCAGCTGTTTTCTGGATCTTTCTGTTGCTCAGTTGCCTGCATAGTCTGTCTTGGTATAATGTGAAGTGGCTGACTTTCTTTCATGAAACAGATTAATAAACTTCTAGCTTCTTTTGAGGTAACTTCTTTAATGGCTGCAGATGTAGG